ATCTTAGGTGAAATGGACATGAATGCGACAAGTACTGGTGCCAGGAGAGCGAGAGAAAAAGACCACCGTCGCAGCATTGTCTCCAACAAGAAAAGAACAGCCTCATTGGAACTCCGGAAGCTAGTGAAGAGGAGGCATGAGCACAGAATGCATTCATACTATGCTTCTGGTGCGTTTTGAGGTTGTCTTGTTGCATCTTCTGCAATAAAAATGTGTGCCCACGTTTTTTCTCGATTTCTCAAAACGACAATTTTCATGTGCTTCCCATTATGCCGGAGCAATATCTCTTGTTCTATCTGGGTTATCATTACGATTTCTTTTTTGTTTCGAAGATAAATGCAGGGGATGTGTCGTAAAGTAAGTTTTATTGTAATAATTTTTGGAGAAAATTCTCTAAATGGATCTTTTGTTTCAAGTGTAGATGGGGAAATTTTTCATGTCATATTCAACATCCCACAACTTTGCTTCGAAATAGCCCAGAACAATGATTTATACTTTATTGCACACTGTGAACATACCCAATTGGTTCTATAGGTTGCACATCAATATCCAAGTTACAGTTAATTAGCTAATTAGGCCTTAATTGAAAAAGTCGCAGTTCATTATATCTTTAAAACTAATTGTCACAGCAAAAAAAGAATTAGATTTTTGAAATTAGCAGTGAAATCTACATAGGCTCTCGAAATTTGACTGAGGTACTCGCAAAAATAAAAGAGTTTTTGGAAGGTGTAGCATCCCCCCTTAAGAAATAGCACGCCTAGGCAATGGGAAGCTATGTGAAAAGATCCATTTAAACCAGAGAGACCGTTAATGAAAAAGGTGCAGGTTTCGACCCAATATGACCCAGCCAAACCACATATCTTGGAAACTGACGCATGCTCGTGTGGTATCGGAGCAGTCTTGTACCTCAAAGTGGATGGCGTAAACTAACCGAACGGGTTGCGATATTGCATACTCTCTTCAGCCAAGCAAAATTATGCCCAGATTGAGCGAGAAGCCTTAGCGCTGGTATTCGGTTTGAAGAAGTTCTGCGAGTAGTTGCTGGGAAACAAATTTACATTGATCACAGAGCATAAACCGCTGCTGCACATTTTTAGTCCCGATTAGCTAATACCACCTTTGGCAGCAGCAAGAATACAATGCTGGGCTCTTTTACTCGGTGGCTACAAATACTCCATTCACTACAAACCAGGAAAAGACGGGATTGTGGCTGACGCTTTGAGCCGTCTTGTTGTTCAAATGCCACATGATGACAAAACAGTGAAGGCAATGTTGAAAGACGAACGAGAGTATGTACTGCTTACAGACCATCTAGACACCGGGCACACCCGGCTGTTGTCGCGCAATTGGCCGAACTGACAACACATGCTCAGGCCTGTCAAGCATTATGTTTCGCCAATTATGTTCGCCAAATTATGGGAGATAATGGCATTGTACAGCTGCAATATCTGCCATATCATCTACAATACAGTAGGCTGGCAGAGAGGGCTGTACAAACTGTAAAACAAGGGTTGCGAAAAAACGTGCATGGGACCCTAGAAAGGCTCCTGGCCCGCTGGCTACTGCGCTATCAGTGCACCCTACTTCGAAACGGAAAGGCACCAATTTATGGTTCTTTGTCTTGAACCCTGTTCACTGTTGGACGATGTTGTGTCACGACCTTTTTCTTGTTGCATGTGCACCTCCCGGCATACATTTGGCTGAAGAACCCGTATGGTGTAAGAACTATGATGCAGGTGCCAGCTGGAGACCTGCAGTGGTACAGACTACCAGGGTAGCCCGGTCAAGACTGAAGATGGGGAACAGTGTGAGCGTTTAGAAGGTACCACTTGGAGGGGCATGCATTGATGTTTTCTGATGGGAAAGGGGCCGACGAAAAAGAAGCGCTGGCACTGCAAGTGGGGAGCTCTCCTAGTTCCAGCCCCGTTCTCGTGCACATCGCAGAGCATGAGACAGGACCTGCTGGAGTCCCGCAAGATCATGACCTCTGTGCTGTCAATACAGGGCTCCCAGCAAATCCAAATCTACCAGCCATTGTAAGGTGCCAGACCATTTTTAGATCTCCCCCTTAAGGGGAGATGCGGGTCGAAAAATGCGAGTTTTTTTCAAAATTATCAATTTTTTTATTTTTGCCTGTTTTGATAAGACCTCTACTGTTATGAAAAAAATAATACAGGTCGAGTCCTTACTGGAAATGCTTTAAAATTGCATCTAAAGAGCACAAGGTGCCTGTTAAAAGGTCGAAAGTGTGCAGTCTTCGAGCACCTTGCCGCCGATAATGCGCCGCCGCTCGCCATTGTTGATCGCATGAGTCGAAGAGTCGAGCCTCACTCTTCAAATAACAACAGTTTCTTTCGCTGTTGCAGCGCAAGAAATAGTAAAAAGAAGCACTCTTCTGCGCGTTTTTCGAGCGCCGCGACTGGCTTATCACATGGTACGAATCGGGGACCGCCATTAGCCGCTTCGCGCCTGTATGTGCTGTGAAACCTATTTGCGGGGTCCATGTCTCGTCATGCAGCGCAGCTGAACAATGCTTTTCTCGTGTAAATATCTTCGTTATGAATGAAAAAAAGACATTGCTCGCAAGTGAAAGCCGTTGCGCGGCGCGTTCTGTAGGAATAGGCTACGAGCAGCTGGTCCGATTTGTGGCCGTTGTTGGCTTGCAACAGCCAATGCATCAAAAGTCGTTCACACCCGTCAGCCGGAAAGTTGGTGATGCGGCAATGGATGACGTCAGTGCCAATCTTGAGAGGTCGAAAGCGCTCGCAGTGAGAGAACTTAGCAGGGACGACATTGCCATTATGTACGACGGTATGTGGCACAAACATGGCTGCAAAATGGCATGACACTGAACTTAGTTTCGATTTCGCAGTCTTGACAAACTTCTTCCTGGCTTGCAGTTGGCACAAGGCTCTGCCAGATGGAGCGGAAGTTTGGCAAGTGTTTCATGGCCCTATCTGTGAGCGAAATTCTGTGAGGAGTCGGCTCAAAAAAGCCGAGAGGGACAAACTCATGACGCTGGCGTATTTTAGTCACAGTGGCCCCTACAAGAAGGATTGTTCTTTTTAGTGTGCAAATTTTATCTGATTTAATGATACCTTTCAAAAATAAAAACTCAATTTTAACTTTAAAACTCGTTTTTCTCAAAACACAAATTTTGCCATTTTTTCCAAAGTGCCCCTCCTTTTTCGGGCACTTCTAGTGCTGAGATCTGCATAAAATTTTGCCCACATTATTTCTAACGTATGACAAATGCAATTATCTAGTTTAACTTTCAATATTTTATTGTAAAATAAAAAAATTGTATGTGTACCTTCACTAGAGTAGGTAAAATATGGACTTTTTACGTATATTATTTTTCACGCGTATTACATATTTTGTATGTGCTTCCTAATTAGTTATTTGCACTCTACACTTTATTTGAAGCATTATGAACTATGAATGATAAAAAATTACAGAAGTTTCGGGATGGAAAGAGGGGGCAAAAGGGTTAAGGTTTTCACTTTGTCATGGTGCAGAGCTAAAGGTGTGTAACTTCCAAGAAAACTAATTATATATTTGAAATCAACATAAAGAATTCTATAAACAGCTCAAGTTTCATAGCTCTAGGATGAATATTAAAAAAAAAGTGTCATCGAGTAGCTTCTCTCCTTAAGAGAGAGGAATCGATCTGATGTCAGCAAATGCCACGAGTGCATGTGTCAATGTCTGAGTGACACATGATCTGTTGCGTTAGGCCTGGCAGTTCGTCGTAGCGGATGCCATTGTGCGCAAACCCGTCTGCAGGTATGCTTTCACCCCATCGGCGCCTGGTCAGAAGCACCACGCACGACGCTGTCCTGTAGGTGTTCCAGGCAGTTCGCTGTGGTCAGGTCCCATCAAACTCAATGAAAGTTTCGTAAAACAACCGTTTTGTTGAACAGGGTCGAACAGCGTGAAACGGCGCCACTGTTGCAGTTATCATCAAGTGAACCTCTCGACTCAACTATTGTCGCCCACGCGAGGTCGTCACAAAAGCATCGACAGTTCGAAAACGTGGGAAGATGTTGCAGTGACCATTCTCAGAAATAGAGCACCTGGACAGCCACGTTCAGGAATGTTCCGGAACACTGTAGCTGAACGCAGCCATGAACCGCTGCTAACGTTCGTGTCAGCGGCCATCTTCTCCCCAAAAGAGCTCAACTTTCCCCTTCCACCGAACTCTACCTCCTCGCCCTGCGATGTCTTGAAGGCGTGGGCCATGTGCGTCTTTGTGAGGTACGCTCGTGCTACACACTGGACATTTTCGCCCATGTTTTTATAAGCCAAGTGGTCCAATATCTGCACTCTTTCTGGTGGGTTGACCACTGAGACTTCACGTCACCTGATTCGCGGAAACAGTGGTCACCGCCTTCTTTAGACTGCTGTGCACAGGAAATGACGAGCTATAAAAGCCGAAAACATTTGTGAATAATCGCTGAATCACTGTAGAGTTCCATCTTTCTCGTCACGTAAATAAACGTACACTCTGCCTGTCAAAGACATCGTGCCCTCACTGGCCAAGATCGGCTATGCGGACGATGGCGAGGAGCCAGCTACCGTAAAGATACCTGCCGTACCTGCCATCAACCTCAATCCCTTTACATATGTCACACTGCAGTTGCCTTACGAAATAAATCTGTGTTCATTCCTGTCTGTGCGGCTCTTCCTTCAGGCTACAGCATCATTTTCAACTGTTACAACGTCCAAGAATCCACACAAAATATCAGGTAATATATTTTGTGTCAGAGCGATAAATAAATGTCGCATTATAAGCGACTCATAAACACTGATGAAATAATAAGTGATGTGCCTCAGCAATTCAAGGGCAACCTGTGAATGTGACCAAGAGTGTTTGTGTGGGTAGGAGCAGAATCCCAAAGTGCAATGGCACCACTGCCACAACAGTCAAAGATAATTAAAACACCTTTGTGCCAATTTCCTATGCCACCACGACAAAGTTCCGCAACGCAAAGACTCACCTGAAGTAGGAGCTCCCTCAGCGTGTACCCGTCACGTGCCGATGTCTGAACCACTTCCACGGTGAAGGGCCCATACACACCATGCCCTTCCGGCAGGTACTTCTCACATTTCACCTGCAGAAAGAGACAGTGATGGCCCACACAATTATGGCAAGCACACACCACAAGAAGAAAAGCCATGGAGTGGTTCGAAGAGTTTTTAGTTTTTCAAATTCACAGCATTTGTTTAGCCAACAAATATGAATGTCGATGAAGGCCTTTGGTCATTGTAAGTTGCCTACCTCATACAACTTCCGGGTATAAATGACTTTAGAAAAGGGAGATACCACGCACACTTGAGCTAACACAACAAAAAAGGGCATTTGCTAACATTTCTTAATGATTATATGGTTGGTGCCTTCTTTCTTTTCACACTACAACAGTCGAGCCCACATATAAAGGCCATAGTTAAAACGAACTTTTGCTTAATAACAAACGATATCTATGTGATCGGAGAAATATGCATTAATTCAATGTCATAAAATCGGACTTACAACAAATGTCTCTGAGGGCCCCCGATCGGTTATAGCGAATGGTGTAGGCGCTTTGGCAACCTCCCGGAACCTCCCTTTTCACTGTCGATAAGCCACCGGGGAGGTGCCCATAGATTCTTATTCTTAGACGCCAACCCTGCCTCCGCATCCATTCAACTGGCGCTATCCCCCCCTCCCCAGAGCATTTTTTGTTACGCATTCCTCCATGCTTTGTAACCCCGTTACTCTGAGCACCCCGCATCGCTGCCAGACGAGGCCTGTGTTTTCACACTGCCACAGCTCTCTCACTGCCACCGATATTTCGAAGACTGGTCGTGTCAATGGAGTGGTTGGCCGCCAACTGTACCCGACCGTCTGCCTGCACACATTCGCGCTACCCCAACGACTTGCATTATTCGCGATTCGATCCGTGTTCAAGATCTGTTCTTGCTAACTTCGCACTTTTTGCAACATGCCCTCCACAGGCGTGCGAAAACATAACGAATGGCTGTTTCACGGAACATATCATGAATTATCGAAGTCGGCAGGGCAGCACAAGCACCGGCGCCACAATGCGGTTCTTTGACCTCTGCGTGCACAGACCTCTACCAAGTTTTCCCACACTTGAGTTGCATGTTTTGTGGACCTTTCAAGCAAGCTACCTGACTTGCGTTCTTCCTACGTGATCTGAATTTCAAGGTCGCCTTCCCCCCATATGCTCCCCTCTCTTCATTCTATTGCAACTCCTTGCCCACCGCTACACGACGCTAGGCACGCTGTGCTGGCAACGCTGGATGTTCTGAAACTTTGTGTGCTATGTCTATGCAGCCACAGATGACAATGTACTCCCTTTTTATTGATCAAATGCTACATAGGATCCAGTAGACGCCTTCAAAATCTATGACATCCTGGTGTTTGGTGCGGGAACATTAAGGTGGTGTTTCCACCCGTATTTTTCTTTCGCACGTTTCCTTGCTTACGACCGTCGTCTTAAACGACCTGGAACAATCGTGCATGCGCACGATTGTTCCAGGTCGGCCGATGCAAATGCGCTTGTTTCAAATCCTGCAAGCCAATAGTGTCAGTCGCTGGGTCGCGGTGTTTGAGTGAGGTAGTGCGCAGTGCTCTCATTTGTTTTTCATTGCAAGGAAAATGACGGAGCGACTGGAGCAACGCTACTGCATTAAATTTTCCCAGAAACTGGGCGACAGCTGAGTGAAAAACATTCAGAAGATCAAGACAGCTTTCAGTGACAACGCTATGAGCCACACACAGATTAAGGAGTGGTGCTACCGGTTTAAAGATAGCTGCATACAGGTGGAGAGCGAGCCACGCTTCGGTTGGCCATCAACATGCCGAAATGACCAGGTCACTCCTGAAGTGAATGCTGTGGTGATACAGGACCGTCATGTGACTATCCGAGAAATTGCGGAAGAAGTGGGAATCTGCACTTTGCGCATTCCATTATGACTGAAGATTTAACCATGAGGGTAGTTGCGGCGAAATTCATGCCAATACTGTTCGTGGTGGAGCAAAAGCAACTTTGTGTTGAAGTCTCACGCAACATGCTGGATTTCACAAGCCGCGAGCTTAACTTCATGACCACCATCATCACTGGTGATGAGTCTTGGGTGTACAGGTACGACCCTGAAATCAAATCCCAGTCGTCACAGCAGAAGCATTCCACATCACCAAGACCAAAGAAGGCCTGCCAAGTGCGCAGCAATGTCAAAGTGATGCTAAGTGCTTTATTTGACTCCCGCGGTGTGGTACACCACGAGTACGCACTACAGGGTCAAACAATCACCCAAGAGTATACAGGGATGTCCTCCGCCGCCTTCATGACACTGTGTGGCGCAAGAGACCTGAGTTGCGGTCAACAGGAAACTGGCGCATCCATTAATACAGTGCTCCTGCATATTCCTCCCACTTGATTTGGACTTTTTTAGCAAAAAGTCAGACACCTGTAGTTCAACAGGCTCCGTAGTCTCCTGACATGGCCCCTGCGACTTCTGGCTGTTTCCCACAGAAGAGGACAATTAAAGGAGACCAATTTCTGACAAGGGAGGACATTATGGCTGCAACAACTATACCCCATTCCGAAAGAGGCCTTCTCAGAATGCTTCCAACATTGGCAGCCCCACTGGGAGAAGTGTGTGGAGTCCCAAGGGGACTACTTTGAGAGGAATAAGGTTTTCAATGCTTCAATTATGTCAGTTTTTTTTTTTCTTCTACCGAAGGTTGGATACTTTTCTAACAGACCTCGTACATCGAATGAGAGCAGAGTGAAATAAGAGTGGATGTGCTAAGCCCATTTGGACAGGAGTTGTGGTATTTAGAACATTTGCGACTCAAATTTCAGCTTGTCTGGAACTCGCTCATATATGTTCAACTTGCTACTGTTGTTCCAACAACTTAGACATCCACTCTTGTTCTCTAGCATTAAGCACCCAGTTCAGGTCACTCTGATGCGCTTATTTACTACGTAATTCTCTCTGGCCAGGAAACCTTTTGCTCCCAGAAAAGGATACTGTAAAAGCCGACGTATAGCCAGTTTTTTTGTTTTTTTTCTAGATTTGAAGGTATGAAATTTCTGCTCTGTACTATATCCGGGTCCCAAGAATTTTCGGCCAGAATTCAGCTTTGGTTTCGTCATAGCGTGGTCATATCATAATCATCAGGTGCTTGTGCTCTTCTGCGCTAGATGCTAGGAAGTGTTAGCGGTGGTAGCAGGCGTTAGTCTTACAGACCCACGCACGCAACAGTGGTCAATGCCTTTGCTTCAACTTGGCGACCCTAATGACAGCAACGATTTTGCTCCTGGAGTTTTACACCATGTCAGCACTGCGCAAGCAGTACTCGGCTACTTTTAAAAGATTACTGCTGCTGTTGAAACCATTGACAATTGTGCCGTGCAACGGCAGTTTGGAGTCAACGAGCGGAGTATTCACGGTTGGCGGAAGCAGAAGGACACCCTCTTTGTTTGCAGCGGCCAGCAAAAATGTTTCCGCGGACCAAAAAATGGAGCGTTTCGTGACGTGGAACGAGAACGCACAGACTTTATGCGAGAGCAGCAAGCTGCACATCTTGCTGTTAACATCGAGTTGCTACATGCGAAGGCAAGGGAGATCACCCGAGACAAAAGCATTCAGCCAGAGGATTTCAAAGCGAGCAAGCAATGGGTGTCTCTCTTCATGCGCTGCGCTGGGTTCTCTCTACGTCAGCGTATGTCAATCTTGCAGAAGATACCAATGAGTTGCGAAAAGGACTTTGTGAAGTTTCAAAAGTATGCAATTGCGTTGCAAAAGGCTGTCCCCTTTCAGCTGGGCCAGATTGGCAGCGAGAATCAAATGCCGGTATACCTAGATATGCCCTTAGCGTTGACGGTGCATCAGAAAGGCTCCAGGCAAGTCATCATGCGATCGACTGGGAACGAAAAAATGCGGGTGACTAATCTTGTTCTGCACTGCAGACGGTTGCAAGCTACTACCTTACGTGGTGTTTAAATGAAAGACGCTGTCGAAGGGGGAGAAGTTCCCAAAACATGCCGTCGTCCGCTGTCAGGACAAGGGGTGGATGGCCAAATCGCTGGTACGTGACCGGATAAAGCCCTTGCGTTGTTGAGGGCCCAAACAACTGCTGGGGCTCGCTTCGATGCTTGTGCTCAACAGGTTACGGTGTCACCTGATTGACTCCGTAAAGCGACTGCCGCACCGAGCTCGTCAAATGACATCACAGCAGCAGCCGCTTGATGTGTGTCTTAATGAGCAATTTAAGGACGATGTCAAGCACCTGTAAGCGGAGTGGATGAGGTCCGGAGAACCAGAAGTGACCCCTGCCGCACGGCTGCAATGGGCCTCGCCAGCGATGCTGTGCTCGTGGAATAGTCGAGGCTTGGGCCTGCATTCCCAAGGCGCTCATTCGCCATGTGTTCCGAAAGTGCTACATCTCAAACGCACTTTATGGCACTGAGGATGGTGTGCTGTGGGAGAACATTTCCCACAAAGAAGCTTCGGAAGAGCGTGCATTCTACAACGAGGATGAAGTGTGTGAATAAATGCATTTCTACATTTTATTCGGGCTAGATTCGGGTGAGAACTTTTTTTTTTCTCGCGTTTGCTATTCGCAAATTACACCCCGGACTATATGCGGGCTTTTATGGTATAACATGCTTGGTACATTAAAAACTACAGACCACCATATTTACTCGCATAAAAGGTGCACCCTCAATTTCATCGCCAGAAATGAGACTTTTTTTTTTATTTCCGCAAAGCTTGGGCAAATAGTGAATTCGGTGTTCAACGGGAATTGTGATTTTGGTTGAATAATTTCGAATCAAATTCGAATAATGTATATTGCCACATTCTCTCCTCATGTTTTGTTATCACCCCGTTTTACTGTCGGTAATTCTCAGCACTAACCACGGTGACACTGTTTGAGAAGCTTCGGGACGGCAGTAGACCATTTTGTTAAGATTACACCCGCTTTGTGAACAGTACAGCTTATTCTGAAACCTACGTCACAGCTAGCGATAACGCTACAATATTCGATGACAAGTGTATAAATGCCGACACGCTTTGCCGCTTGTCAGCTGATCGGCGG